AAATATATTGGTCAAGCCCCCATCATGCTCCCTACCATTACACACTGAGAAGCGATCGGGACTTGATGGAAGGGATAAGTCACATGACGCCTACATGGTGGTGGTCAAGCCTGCCATCAAGCCCATGATAAGACCATGTGTTATAGGAGGGCTTGACGGGACTTGATTGGTATAAATAAGTATGATGTGGAGTAGAGCCAGTAAATCGATCAGTCAGATTGAGTTCGAGTTCGAACACTTTAGATTCGGGTTATATCCGGGTCAGTTAAGTTCAGATTTGCGTTAAGAACTACATGTTCATGACCTAGTGTTATCGGGTTCGCGTTGACCCAACTAGTTATTATATTTATTTTAATAATATATAAATTTATACTAGCACTTACATTTGCTCTAAAAATAGTAAAATATCAAAATACATATATTAAACCTCTTAGAATATTTATTTTGATATTCTAATTCTTTTTTAGATATGTTTAATAATGTAATGAATAGTAAAAAACTAAAAATGCATCACTTTTGAAACAATATAAAATAACTATGTCATCTTCGGGTTCGGTCAACAAAATCTTTGTTCAAAACCCAATATTTTTGAGTCGAGTCTTTGGTAAAAAAACAGGTCAGGTCAGGTTTAATGTGGGGTGATAAAAATATATGTGTTATGGTGCGATAAGGGCAGCCATAAAGTCATGAAGTGTAAAAGTGTGAATTATTTCGTTGATTGAAGTGAAGTGTGTTGAATTTTGATGGATTAGATTTAAAAAAACAGAGAATAAGCTCAAAATGGCGTGAAAACCATCCCTCCACTAAGGGCCACGCCCCATCACTCTTCTTGTGCAATGGGAAAGGGGGGCGAGTAAGGGTGGTCAAACCCCTTCTCACGCCTCATAACACATAGCCCAAGGTCGTCTGTAATGGGGCGTCACCCCCTAGCGTGACAAGCTCTCACGCCCCTCCTTCCCATGCTACACTCCATGTGAAAAGGGCGTTGCTGCTTTTTGTTTCTTTTTTAAACCAATCAAAATGTAACACACATTCACACCTTATCACATTTCATCACACTCACCATAAGACCATGTGTTATGAGGCGTTAGTAGCTGTGGTTGCGCCGGTCATGCCCCTTCACGGTGTGATGCCGCCGGCATAAGCAGCGTGACGCCAGAGCCTTGATTGTCGCCATGACCGTTTCCCCACCATTTTCCGCTAGATGTTGCCGTCTAAAATATTGTTTTAATGTATATAGACGTTAGACATAAAAATGGCTATAAATAGAGTGGAGAAGAATGGGAACCTCACCCCCCCCCCCAAAATCCACTACTATACGTATTCCATAGAAAATAAATGAATTTGGATGAAGAAAACAACTAGTTCTCATCTTCTGACGATGACAGTTCAACGTTTTTTTTCTACGTTCCATTGAAGGTATACCAAGCACTATCGTAGCTATTTTTAATGAGAATTCCTCCCAAGAGATTACGCATCGGAGAAGGATCAATCGGGGCTGTGGTGCTGCGAACCAACGCTTGATTGAAGATTAATTTTCAAAAACTCCAGTTTATAACGACGATCAATTTAAAAATTGTTTTCGGATGAGCCGCAACTTATTCAATTCTATTATCAACAACATGGGGAAGCATTTTTCCTTTTTTCAACAAAAGATAGATGCTACGGGAGCAAAATGATTCACCGTGTTCCAAAAGTGCACAAGCGCTATCCGAAAACTTGCATATAACACAACTAGCAATTCATGGGACGAGTATTTGAAGATGTTAGACAAAATTTCTTGTGATAGTCTTTCTCATTTTTGTAAAGGTAATTTTTTTAACTCAAACGTATGTAAGTCATTTTTAGTTTAATATATCGAACGTCTAAATACTTTCATATATTATGTACATCACTTCAAATTATTTTTAAGGCCTCATCAATCTATACAGTCGTAGATATTTGCGAAAGTCGTCGTGGAGCAACATTTAACAGATATATACTGTTCACGAGCATGTGCATGGCTTTCCTGGGATGTTGGAAAGTATTGATTGTACACACTGGGTATGGAAAAAATGCCACATGGCTTGGCGAGGGTCACATCAACGCGGTGATCACCCAAGTCCAACTTTAATGCTCGAAGCGGTCGCTTCAAATGATCTTTGGATATGACATGCGTACTTTGGCATTGTAGGATCATGTAACGATATCAACATCCTCGATCAATCTCCAATATTTGATGATGCTTATAACAGCGATGCACCTCCGTCTTCTTTAATTTGTAATGACACTTATTACAAACATGGATATTATGTTGCATGCGGATGGCATTTATCCCGAGTATGCGACACTTGTGAAATCATTTACATGCCCCCACGCGGAGGATGAGAAAAAAACGTATTTCAAGAAGGCACAAGAGGTAGGGAGAAAGGATATTGAAAGAGCATTTAGAGTCCTTAAACGAAAATGACATACCGTGCGCAACCCATGCCGTATGTAGGAAAAGTCGAAAAGAGCAAAATTAGAGCTGCTATGTATGCTTGCATTATTCTTCAGAACATGATTTTAGAAGACAAAGGAAAAGCGATGTGCCAAAATTACGAGGAGGTCGACGTTCCGAAAGTAGAAATTTCAAACGACGAATGAAATGAAATTCGCGCGGAAGTCTGAAGTAGGAAAATACATAACATGCTTAAAGGAGATTTGGTGGAGCACGTTTGGAAAAACCGATATTTCAACAAGTAATTTTTTATATTTTATTTTCAAGATGAACAATTGTTTTTTATGTATTGTATTTTTAAAAAAATTCCGTTGTAATTTTTTTGTATTATGTTTAAATTAATATTTGAATTTATATGTATACAAAAAAAATTATCTGCAAAAAAAACAAACAAAAAAACAAAAAAAGTTGGTCAAACCCCGGCCATAATATACGTACATGTGATGTGGCTTGATGGAAGGGACAAGCTTCATGGCGCTTACTTAGAGGTGGTCAAGCCCCCCATCGAGCCCAAAATAACACATAGGCTAACAAACATTTTTTATCATTCTACATCTTATATCTTTACATCCCATCAACCCCGTTAGGTCTCCGTCAAGCATACCATAACACACTGTCTAAATCCAATCACATGTCACGCGAGTATTTTCTAATAACGAAAAAACGCATGTATTCTACGAAAAAACTGAAACTACATTTATTTAGGAAGGGAGCAAGTATTTTCTAACCAATACATCAGTCACACCTTAAATCCAATCGCATGTCACGCCTAATTGACAGGTTGGCCTTACCTGTACAGACTCAAACCATCACACTAAAAATTATCCTCTCCCACCTCATACATTAATCGTTTCTTTTTTTGTTTGTTTCACATTAATTATATTATTTTTTTTACTATTATAAAAAAAAATTATATTATTTTTTTTCCAATACAAATAAAGCAACGTATATATATGATCCACGATCTTTTTCTTGCTTTCTAAAAAAATTTCAACCAGCTATTTTTTAGTTTCTACTGTTTTTTAAAATAATTCATGTTTTGATTCGGGAGAGTTTTATTTTCGTAGGTTGAACTTTTAATTATATCCTTCGTATCGAAGAAAAAGAGAGAAAAATCATTTAGACAACTTATGGGAAAAAGACTAGAATAGGGTAAAACATTGAAAATAAACTAACTAAATATGAGTTTTATATTTTTATTCTCAAAATAGAAGTTAAAATGCATTTACATTACCAATCATGGCCATATACAGTACGTAGAATGCACATGTACAGTGCCACATTACCACGTTGCGAACTCCAATTTAGGGAATGAAAATATGGAACTCCTATTTTGATACTTTTTCTATGTTTTAGTCCGATTAAGGGTGATTTCATATGACTTATTACATCAATGCAAATTGAATGGAATATATTACAACGACTTAATTTAGTTCGTTATACGAGTCATTTTTTACAAAAAGTAGTGTTTTAAAGAAAATGAAAAAAATGAAATGGAAACTGTTTTAAGAAACAGAAAGAGTAATATTTATTCTTTAAGCTTAGAGATGAGGGAGTACAAGGAGGGAGCATGGCATGAAAAAGGTGGACCACTCTATGGATTCTCTCTAGTCCTTAGTCCTTACTTTTATTTATTTTTTTAATTTTTTTTTTTTGCATTTGCATGGCCCTCTTCATCCAATCAAAGTACACATCAAAATACTATACATCCCACCTACTTGTTTCTTCTTCTTCTTCTTCATCTTCCTATCTTCTCCTGCTTAGGTTTGCCACTTATAGATGAGATGAACATTCTCTGGCAATGTGCTGGCTTTCCAGCTCCCCTAATTCTGGCCCATTATTATTAATTACCCACCTTCTAAAATGGCTTAAAACAAAAGAGAACAATAATTTCTTATTTCTTTATGCAAGTGGTCATGGGGATTTGAATGGATAGGGAGGGGTGTCCACTCACCAGATAGATTGGAAGGCAGAAAACATGACAAGGGTGCGTGGAATATTGCATTTTTAAAAGAACAAAAAAACCAGGCTGGATGGTACAAAAAAATAAGGGTGTAATTCCAACTAAAATGTATGCCATTCTATTCCTATGTATATAAAATTCCAAAAAAATTGAGATGGTTTTTGCTAGACTCAAAATTTCATAAAAAGTACACTAAGAAACAAATGAAGTTTAAAATGAAAAAGATTGTTTGGAATATTGAGGATGTTTCTTTGTGCTGGTACTTATTGATTTATTCTATCTCTGCAAATTTACCACTGTAAAAAAAGAATGTGTTCTTTTAGACCATTGTTTTAATCAATTATTTACTCCAAGTTAATATAAAAAATATTGTCAAAGATGACTACTTTGGGGCCAATTAATAGTTTCCTTTTTAAATCTCCCAAAAGTGAACCATATTTGAAAAACTTATCACACCAAATACTAAAAATATCACTACATGCATACATCCTTTTTTTTGCACTACTTTAAACTTTAAAGCACAAAACTAAACATTATTGGATTAGAATAGGGAGTAGTACCTATTTCATCACTTTAATATTCACTGATTTCACTCTCAAAAAAAAAGTCATTCAATGGTACAATCATTAGTCATTACAAATCATGTGTGGTTTTATTCACAGCCTTGAAACAAAAAATTTGAAGAAAAAAAAAACAGAGTATCCCTTTTCACTCTCATTAATTCTATGCTTTGTAGTTTCACAAACTGCAATGTTACCTGTGATGTCCTTTTTTGAGACCAATGAAGTAAGCATATAGTAATCGGTATCAGCTGACTTTGGGCTGCTGTTGTAGAGGAAAGAAGTCAACGCTCGTCCACCACTCACAGTCAACGCCGGCCTTGCTCAACACTTGTGGTTTAACGTTGTCAAAATCGAAGTCTTTGCTCATCGGCACACCGGTCGAGCGAGCCGGTTCTGCTGACGTGGGATGATGATGTGGCGGCGGCATTGCGGGAATCTCGCCGCCTGTCAGCTCGAAGGACACTCTGTGATGGAGGGTAGTTTTGTCATTGTCGCCTTGGGACTCGGCATCGTCGTCCGAGTTGGCGAGCGAAGCCACCTCGGAGATTTGGTTCTCCAAGACATAATAGTTGTCTCGTGACGGAGGTTCGCCGCCGTTATTAGGGGTCATGGCTCCTGAACCGAGCCTTGAGAGGCCACCGTTCGGGGTCTGAGCTCCCGAGCCTAGCCTTGAACCCCAACCTGTTGGGGTCTGGGCTCCAGAGCCTAGCCTCGAACCCCAACCTGTTGGGGTCTGAGCTCCAGAGCCTAGCCTGGAACCCCAACCTGTTGGGGTCTGAGCTTCTGAACCCCACTTTCGGGTTGAGAAGTGGTTGCTGTTCGGGCTTCCTGGACAGGTGTATGGCTGATAGTCGTACTGCGACAACGGGAACCTCACTTGGCTTCTGCGGTTGCGCGCGAGCGACGACGTCAGAAGCTGAGCAAACGGGACTTCCGGTGAGGGCGGTGTCGTCATTGGGGCGGATTCCGGCGGGGGCGTGAAACACGCGGTGGATGGTTCGGTGGTGACGGCAGAAAAGGCCGGCGGCGTGACTAACTGAGTCTCGTGAGCGTACGGACCGATGGCGAAAGCCGAGGCGGCGGCGGAGGTAGAAAAGGCATCGCTGATCGATATCGCGGCGGTGAGAGAGAGAGATCCGTGCGGCGTTCGGGCGGCGGAAGGGGGATCAGACTGGAGGAAAGATGCAGGGGAGGAGGGAGGAGCTATGAAGGGAAACACGATGGTTGCGGAGGAACGACTTTGTTGAGTCCCGGAAACCGCCGGAGCTGAGGCTGTGGGCGCCGCCGGTTCAGGCACAAGGACGGCGTGACCGATCCGTTTGGTTTTATGTTTGTATGAACCAAAACACCAGTAGAGACTCCACCAGCTTCCCCATCCACTTTTCTGGAACAATATTACAAGCCAAAACGCCTTATTAGATCCCTATGTAGTTTCCATTATTAAATTGGACAAATATCACATCAAATCCTTTTTGAACAAACAAATTGAAGATCACTAGGCTCTAATCAAGACTAAACAAATTTAGGAGTTTATCAAATTCAAATACTAATCATTACTTTTTTTTCATTTAAGAGGTCTTATTATGTCCTCATTCATTTTCCAATTACAAAATACAATTTTATTTCCTTCATAGAAAATAATTTCTTCGATCTCAAAATTCAAATTATTGGCCCTATAGATGCATTCCTCTGATCGGAAATCAGCACAATCGAAAGCTTAGCCGAATTCAATCAGATAAAAAAATCTAATTCACGCACTGGTGTATGTGTTTTATGAATGTACCGGAAGGGAAGTGGGCTGAACTCGGCTGTCGGCGGTGACAATGGCGGTGGCGGCGGCGTTTACTGTGTCGACGCTGCTGGGGTGGAGACTGCTCATGCCTGCGAAAGTATCTCGATCGGCGGCCGGGAAGTGTCGAATTCCGGTTAGAGAGGAGATTTGCAGGGGAAAACCCGCCGGAATATAATTTCAGTCACGAGACATTCGCTGGGGGGTAAGGTAAGTGGGAAAGGAGATCAGAAAGGCGCAGAAATAGACGGAGCGTTATAAATGAATGACCCAAGTATAACGTGAGCCCAGCAAATTCATCATAAATGAATGTATGGCACTTATATCACACTCCGCAAATAATTTAATAAATAATAATAATAACAATAATTTAATAGTCTTTCCATGATTCCATCCCATTTAAATATTTTGCAATTGACTTGACATACCGCTTAAAAAAAGTAAATTTATATAGTTAAAAATGAAGCAAAAAAGAAAAAAAATTAAAAGGGCGTTTTCTAAAAATGGAAAGTAAAATATATTTTTAGCCTTGAAATAGAAGTTTACACTATTTTTCTCCTTTCATCCCATATTTTTTCTTCGCAGTGCACCATTGCAATTTCACGAGAATTATTTTTTTGTGTTTTTTCATGACCTATATAATACAATAAAATACTGATTTCATCACTTATTTAATTGAACTTTTGATGTAATTTTTAAATATACAAGTCTCATTTTTTATTTCTATACCAATGTTTGAATAATATATATTGAAAAAGTTAGGATTTTCTTTGTTTTGCGTAATGCAAAAAAAGATATGTGACGGAGGGAGTATGAAACGAATGAGTACCAATATTGTACATCCACATGATTCTTAGAGCAGTGGAAATGCGTATAACGCCGGGGGCGCAATGGGGCGTTTAACGCCACCTAGGCGTTAAACACCGCCCCCTATGGGCGTTAGTCCGACGTCACCTTCCTGCTTTAGAAGTTTGTCGCAACTCCCTCCTCCCCCAACAGCTAAATTAGCCGTTAACATTTATAAAAAAAATTAATTTTTTTATAAATATCAAACTCAATCCTTCAGTCTTTTTCAGATCTTTCCTTTTTTCAATCTCCAATTAAATACTTTTTAAAAATAAGTAAAAAGAAAAAAATTAAAAGGGTCATTTTCTAAAAATGGAAAGTGAAATATATTTTTATCTTTAAAATAAGAGTTTATACTGTGACAATGTGACATTATATATTGACTTTACAGAAGTACTTTTTAGTATTATAAGTTGACATATAAGAGCAACTCCAACCGGGAGTGGATAAAATTGTAAGCTATAAACCCAAATAGCTTGTAAACAGTGTTTTAGCTTTCAAATACTACCTCCGTCCCGCTATATTCGTCCACTTTTGACTTTAGAAACTGTTCATTTAAACACTTTGACTCATCAAATTCTCTCAATGTGTAAGCCTAAATATAGTCATGTGTGATCTTGTTTGATTTGTCTTAATATATAGATTATTAATATATAATTTCTATAATTTTTTAATATAAAAATTAAAAGATAAAATGGATTAAAGAAGTGATGGTGTGCAAAAATAAAAGTGGACAAATACTCTGGGACGGAGGTAGTATATTTGATGCTTTCCAACCACACCAGGTATAATATAGATTCTTCATATTTTTTTGAGTTGAACATTTCATCAAACATGTTGTGTGCATCACCGAAAATCTAGAAACACCAATGAATCAATCCATCAAGAGGTGCCCAACTCAGAATAGGAGAGTCCTAGTTGAATCTCATAAGCTTTAATTTCTTTAGTTTGAACTTTGAAGGGATGCAAAATAAAAAAAAACAGCGTTGCTGCAAAATTCTTGCCTGTAGAGGAGCGACGAGAAAGAGACATACTTCTCTTGCCTAGTTCTTCTTCTGATCAAGAACCAGAGAAGTGCATACAATAAAAGCAGAGGAGAGGAGCAACACAGATGAGTGTTCCAGAGTTTTTCGTCCGTCCAGCTAGCCAAGCAAATAGGTGGATACACTATCTACAGTAAATTCTACGGAGTATATATGAAAGACGAGGAGGAGGAAATAGCTTGTAGTCTATTTAATAGACTACCCGTTGGAGATGTTTTTTGTGTACAGTAAAAGCTTTATCTTTTACTACCGTATTTTTTAACACTTTGCTCACTTTTACCCGCTGCGTTGGAGTTGCTCTAAAGGAGTAATGACGAGTTTTCACGAGGAATTAGGTGGAGTAAAAATATTGTGGAATCTGCTAAAATTTAGGGCAGAACTATTTTCCTCCTTCCATCTCATATTTTTCTTCGTAGTGCACCATTCCAATTTCACGAGAACTTTTACTCTCTCAGTCCCAAAATTAACTTCTCATTTGACTTTTTACGGTTTCCAATGCGACACTTTGACCATTAATATCTCCATTTTTATATGAATATATATTATCAAAATAATATATTTCAAAACTATGTTTCAAAATGAATCTATTGGTACTAAATTTATATGAAAATTCAATATATATTTTCCGTAATATGACTGCAAAAGTCAAAATGGAAAATTAATTTTAGGACGGAGAAAGTATTTTTTGTGTTTTATCATGTCCTATATGATAAAAAAAATACTCGGGTCATCACTTGTTTTGTTGAACTTTTGATGTAGTTTTTAAATATATAAGCTCTATGTTTTTATTTATATACCAATGTTTAAATAATACTCCCTCCGGTCTTAAAAACATGGGAGTCATTGATTTTTAAGAGATTTAAGTAAAGTGTTTTTGATATTTAATTTCTAAAAAAGTCCTTTAATGTGATGGTAAAAATATGATCTAATGGGTAGATTTTATTAGTAAAAAAATATGATGTGATAGGTAAGAAATGAAAAAGTAAGGGTAAAAGTGACTTATTAATATAAATAAGAGATGTTTTTCAGGAAAAATAAAAAAAGGTTTTCAAGGACGAAAGGAGTATATATTGAAAAAAGTTGGGATTTTCCTTGTTTTGTGTAACGCAAAAAAAATGTGACGGAAGGACCGAAGGAGTATGAAACGAATGAGTACAATTGTACAAATAGAGTACATCCACATGATCCTTAGTCATCTTAGTATCAATTTTACACTCATTTATATTTTTTGGGGATTAATTAAAAAGAGATATTATTTAGGAAATGGATTGTGTTAATCTATTTGTTTGCTCCTAGTGGTTACTCCTAATCACATGTATGCATAAATGCATAATTGACATTACATTCGATATTTAAAAGGTCAGCATTCTAAACAAATTAGTCAATTTCTTTTTTACTCCAATCCTAATCACATGCATGGATAATTGTAATTGATATTATACATAAAATTTAAAAGGTCAATTCACAATTAGATAGCGTTGTCATTGAATTGTACGGAGTAATTAACTAACGATAACTGTATGTTTAATGTTGACTGTCGAGTAATTAGTACTTAGGGCCTATTTGGTGAGCATAGAGATATACTCCTTTCGTCCAAAAAAGAATGTCAAGTTTTATTTTTCAATCATCATAGGAACTTTTAATTATTTGTATGTTTTTATTGATTATTTGATAAAATAAAATATGTAAATTTTAATTTTTATTTCTATACCAATATTTAAATAAAATGAATTGAAAAAAATTTGATATTTTATCTCGTATCGTAAAATTTGGTACGTTGTAATGTTTGTCAATATAAAAAATATACCGTAGTAATTAGTTTTTGCTGAAGCATAGAAGATTGAATTTGATATCTCCCAAGATGCAAAATCACAAACCCTTCTCAACTTCAAACAAATAGAGGGGCTTTGATGTTACCCAAATTGGGATAATTAGAGCATTGACCATGGCAAGACAAAAATAAAATGCCACACGGTGACATGGATTATTTCAACCAACAGTTACCGTGTGGCAAATGAGTGGAGTGTCGTAACATACAGTGGCAAGTCGTTATTTTTGTCTATTTTTGCACTTTTTAATGATTTTTAATTATAAAAAATTATTTTAAAAATTTATTTTATTATTAAAATATGTTTACTTCTTTTAAAAAATATTTTTTCAAATATTTAAAATATTAAAAATATTAAAAAATAAAAAAATGAGAAAGTCATGCCTTGCACATGGAATGAAAAGTGGGGTGGAATGGTCATGGAATGCCATGATTTGAGTGGAATTTGCTGACATGGCATGACAAGGCAATGCATTACCTTGCCATTGTGAATGCTTAGAGCATGGGCAATGGCAAGTAAGAAATTGGATGCCACACGATGACGTGGGGTATTTTAGCCAATCAAAACAAGTCCAGTCAGCGTGTGGAACATGAGTGGAGTGGCATGTCTTGCAGTGGCAAGTCACTCTTTTTATCATTTTTACACCTTTTTAATATATTTTAATTATTAAAAATTAATTTACTTACCTTTTTAAATAAAAATAATTGCAATCTTTTTTTGGCAATGTTAACATTTTGACATATTTTAATTAGTAAATTAAAGAAAATTTCGCATGCCTAATATATTCTATTCTTATTTAAAGAAAATTTCGCATGCCTAAGAAAATTTCGCATGCCTAATAAATTTCGCATGCCTAATTATTAAAAATCTTTTTACACCTTTTTAATATATTATATTCTTATTTAGAATGATAAATTAAAGAAAATTTCGCATGCCTAATATATTTCTAAAAAGGAAACAAAATATAAAAAATATTATTTATGTAAACTTCTTTTCTAATACCGAACTTTTTTATAAAATTGGAATTGATATAATAAAAAAAGGATTACCATTCAACTAAAAATAATATTTATCCATAAAAGGTAATAATCACGTTAAGGTGTAAATTTTTTAATCAATGCATTAAGGGGGGTGTATTCAATCAGAATTCTGATGGATTGTTTTGGATTTTGAAAATCTGTAGGTATTCAATTCAGATTTAAAAAAATCATTTAAAATATGACTGTATTCAATCCGGATTTTAAAAAATCCTTCCAAATATGACAGTATTCAAAAATTGATAGATTTTTAAAGATTTTTAATTATAAGGATTTCAATGGATTTTCATGCCTTACTTATTAATACAATTCCAGATTTGAAATCCCACCAACAACCCTAGGATTTCGCCAGACTTTCTTCCGCACTAACTAGATCCCCTTCTCATCTTCTTTTTCGATCCGTCGGCATAGCACTGGACAACTTCTCATCATCTTCTTCAATCCGTTGCTAGACTCCTCCCTTTCCGCGGAGCTCTAAGAAGGAAGCCAGATTCTCTCACTCTTTCAGGTCTTTAGCTCTCGTTC